TCTTTACAACCTACCTTTTATAAAGTTAAGTATCTTATGCATTGACTAGTATCAAAGGGGATTGGTACTATTCATATATACTGATTGTCGCTTATGTAGAAAAAAAAGACTTTTTCACTTTGTTCAGCATAATTTTAAAATAGTTTTTCATTGTAAACTGAAATCATTTAGAGAATTATTGAAAATCACACATTTAAAATTTATTCCATCCTATTTTATTGTCATTCAGCAGATTTTCATGAAGAGATTTATATTTCAACAAATTATAGGAATCTTATAGTTTTCATTATTTTCTATTATTGATAAGCATCTATTTAGAATCACAGTTAATTTGAATCTATCATGGAAGTTACATTTAACATTAATTGTTTCTATCTAAACTAATTAGTTAACATTAATGATCATAACCAGGTGTTAATTGACTTAGTCATTGTTTTGGAACCTTTCATTGTCTTGTATTTTCTTTCTTTGTACATCATAACAACTTATTTATCAACTATATTTCTATAAATTTGGCTACGATTATAGAATAGTAGAGAGAGAGAGAGTATGCTTTAATCCTTTTTTTCTAAAGACATATTCGCAAATAGAAAACATGATTGTTTGTTATGTTCATATGGTTGACATTAAAATAGTTGTATTACTAATAATCTTTTTTTTTCAAAATTAATCATTTATTCAATCATTGGACAAGTTCATTAGTTTTTCTTTTTTTGTATTTCCATCAAATGTAGAATCATAATGGAAAGTAGTTAATTAATACTTACCGATATTTAAGAAAGTAATTTTTAAAAGTGTATTTACAATGCGTTTCAAAATGACTATTTACATTTTTAAGGTAAATGGAGCCATTCATTAGTTGATATGAATATTTTCACTCTTTATTTCTTGTTTCATCCATCATTTTTATGTTCACTATTGTAATATTATTCGTTGTATTGTGTTGTGTTTTAACAAACCTCTTTTCTTACCGTCGCCAATTCTCATAACCACGTACTAATTGTATTTATTTCTTCTTAAAGTGAGATTTTTTATAAACAATATTTCAATTTATTTTTGCTAATTGTAACCACTACCTTATTTCACTGCATCTTATCATTGTGTTTTAGTAGTAAGTGGTAACCATCCTGAATTCTTCCACCAAATGCCAACCAAAAAAAAAAACTGAATGCATTTTGTTTATTCATGTTCACTGAACACTTCATTCGTTTCATATCTGTATCCACTCTGTTTCATGTGAGAAAAGGAGAGGACGCGATAATAAAACCTCACTATCTTGTTTAAAATTTCTGTTTTCCATTTCTGTCCACGTCAAATGATAATTTATCATTCGCAATTCCTTTTACTCGGGTTTATTTTTTTTTCTAACTTTCTAATATATATATATATATATATAAAGTTATCTATCCAGGATTTCCGCTGTTAGACTAGTCGTTAGTAAACGAAAGATTCTACGTCTGTTATTCTGATATTTTGTTTTATCCTATTTTTATTTCTCTATTTCGTTCATTTTTATCATCTTGTCTGGCATAAATTTTCCTTTCACTAGACGGGAAATATTGTGATGTAATGGCCTCTTCTTTTGTGTTAAGTTCATGTGAAATCTTATAAATCAGAATATTCACTTTTTACCACTCTAATGTAGAATACTTTCGAAAGCCATGATCTTGCTATTTATTTACTTGGGTGTACACTCTACTTATAAGTAATATAAATCAGTAAACAAAATTATCGTTTGAGGTCTATGCGTAGTCCATTCCCGAACGAAATATTATAACTGGTTCCCACTAAGCTTGATAGGATGGGAAATGAAGAAGAGTTCCATGATTGCGAACGTGTATCCCACAATGCTATATCGAACCCATCAAATTTAGTAATAACCCTAGGTGTGACAACAGCCATCTTTTATCAAATTTCTTTCCAGTAATTTCCTATCCTTTTAACTTCCAATCACATAACACTAAACAAGTTTCATAATGGTATCGGTTCACTTGAACCGGATTTCACTGCTAGGCACCATCTGTCTCTGCTTAAAAATGCTTGTGACTTAGTGGCAATATCGGGGCAATCCGCACAGGAAGCATATATACCAAAAGACACTGACCAACTTTAGTCATAAACATCAGGGGGAAGATTCAAACAACCAATACATATAAACTTATAATAGTTTTGTCGTAAACTGATTGATGTAATTCAGTGGAAGCACTAATGACTTCACATAGCACTGAAGATATTGTCCAGATCAATAATGAATAGTTCAAAATTAAAGTATTCAGATTAGGGAATAAATCTTCACCATCACCACCAAAATTGAAGTAATGAATTCAATGTTTATTGATAATCTTTAAGTATATTATTTGGCAACAGTAAAAATAGTAATTATAGAAGGTTTTTTTAATTTCCTTGGTTAATTGGATTTTCATACATAAAACGATGTATTCTTCGTGGTTGTATCTGATCAAAACACTAGTAAAGAGGAACTCCTAGACCAATTCAACAGTGTTCACCCAGCGATCACTTTCACTGGTGAAAGCGAGCATGATAAGAAGCTGAACTTCCTCGACGTCACACTAAACGGACGAAGTGACGGCACATTAAGTAGAAGCGTGTATAGAAGAAACCTCTCTTCATGCCAATATACTTACTTCTGCAGTTTCACACCCATCCGTTACAAGAGAAATTTGGTCAGATGTCTCACTAGCAGGGCAAAAAAGATTTGAACAGTAGACACTCTAAGTCAGGAGCTTGAATTTATCAACAACTCACTGACCGAGATCAGCTACCCCAGAGCGTTCATTAAGAAGTACATGCATGATATAATAAAGAAGTCGGAGATTTCGACTGTTCGTAAGAAACCTTTATACATGAAAGTGCAATTCAACGGGGATGTGGCTAGTGACACTCTGAAATATAGGTTAATCAAAGTAATCACCAGGACATTCTACGCAGCCAATCTTGCGTTGACCCTCTCTTGTCGACTAGCGATGTCTACTCAAACGAAGGATAAGTTACCTGAGTTGGCCTCTTCTATGTGCATTTACAAATTCAGCTGCTCCTGTGGAGATAGCTATATAGGGCGTACTACCAGGCAACTTAACCAACGAATGAGTGAACATCTACCAACTTGGTACATAAAGGGCCAGAGAAAATCTCTTCGCAGTTCTATATTGGCACATCTTATTGATAGCGGTCATGCAGTAGATAAATCGAAATCATTTCGAGTTATCTATCGTATACCTCCATCATTTCCCGACGGAGTCCGTTCCCGTCTCCTATATATAGCTGAAGCCATTGGAATTCGTACATATAACCCCAATTTATGTGTACAGAAGAAATACGTGACCCTCCTATCCCTTCCATGGCCAGTTGTAACTTAACTAACAATTTTTTAAAATTTTGTTATTATCATTATTTATTTTATTCTATTTGTGTTATCGTTAACCTTATTTCCACATCCATTATTTGTTTGTAATTTTCCGCCTCTTTGTATTCTTCACTATCTAATTATTTACACACATCTTATTACGTAATGATTTTAATGTTTTGTGATTACTATTCCTAGTCTATTTACCCATGTTTGTTTGACCTTCTATTTCCAACGCTTAACTATTGATAAGAGCTTTGTTATTGTATTTTATTATTCTCACTATTATCAGTTCACCTGTCTTCATACTATCAACTTGTACTTTTACCTATTATGTGTAGTGACTTATTCTATTTCATTGTGATTATTGACCCATATTGCCTTGATTGGTTTGAAATTTTCGTATAAATATTCATGTATATTAGAGTAAAGCTTGATGACGATCTAATTGAAAACAATTGTGTCGCTTATATGTGTTGTTCTCATTTTACTACTGTTCTGTATTTTTTCTATTTAACATCATAATCAGTCCTTAATACAAATAAATAAAATAGTTAAACAACAGTCTTTAAATAAATAAAAACTACATTTTCAAAAATCAGTCATAGGTCAAAAGAAAAAAGAATTTTGATAAGAATGCAAAAATTATATTTCTATGTGAAGAGTTCAAGAATCATGTGTTATAATCTCTTAAGCGTGATAAAAATAAAAAAAACTTGCATTTTCATATTATTATTATTATTATTATTATTATTATTATTATTATTATAATATCCTATACATTGTTGATGTCTGTACTATTTCTGTCAAAGTGATGCATGGTCTAAAGTAAAAAAATGTCAAGAATAAATTGGTTATGTTATATTTTAGACTGAAGTCAAATTTGCCAAAAATATTTAGATGAAATCAAATAGATAAGTTACCGTTACCTTACATTTTTTCCGTAATATGTTCCATATATATACTATTCGGTAACATTATGTTACCTATGTTTCTTTATTCTGGTAATCAATTTTTTCGCTTGTCATTATTACTCAATATTAAAACATTACATGTAGTACTTATTTCCGTCTCTTGGAAAAAATTGATGTCTAATACATTTTTAATGTGAAAAAATCTCAATGACAACTGTGGTTGGAAGAAGTGACTTACTGAAATAATCTATTTTTTTATAACCTACAAAAAGGTATCTGTTATGTTATGAATTGACAATTTACTTACTTATCCGTATATCCACTATAATTTGATTTTTTCTTACTAAAACTATTGTAAAGTCATCTCTACAAGTTCGTTCATCGTAGTAAAAAGTAATTGTGAAAGAATTTTTTTTCAGGATTTATATGGATTATTCACCATTTGTTCTTATAAAATTATACATTGTCCATAAAATTAATACAGTAGTTGATGATATAAAGTGAAAAGAATAAAATGGGTTCACTTGATTTAACCATAAGAAGTAATTTTATGAAGATATTTGTTTGTCACTTTTTGCTTATTTATTTCAATAACTGATTACATCATTTTATGTCGTATTACTATTTAATCATAAAATATCTGAAAAGTTAAATAGTAAAGTATGTATAGATATACATTGCCATATTTAATGTTAAAGCGTTTATAATTTTACATTTCACAGGTAACTCTAAGTAGTGTACAACGAGGTGAAATTGAATTGTGGTTAACGTCTCCAGCTGGAACTATTTCACAACTTTTAAGCAAAAGGCCAAAAGATATTGATGTCGCTGGATTTCATGCATGGCCATTTATGTCTGTACACTATTGGGGTGAATTAGCCAATGGTACTTGGAAATTAACAGTTAAATCGGGAAATGCTGTCGGTAAGCTTTATGTTATTTTTTTTTTTAAAAAGAGCGTTATCTTCATATTTTAGAATGCATTTAGTTTGGCTAACAAACTTGGCTAAAGCCTATGTAAATGTATCAGTATGATATGCCAAAATGTACACGAAATTTTTAACTATTGCGCAGTTCACTATCTCTGTTGTAGACATTACTTCTGAGTTATGCACATAACAACTGACCTTATTCTAAAGCGTATACAACGACATAATTAAATGTACTGGATCGGTTGCAAAACTATACCTTTTAAGGAATTGTCTCAACCCTGTCAACGCATATGCAGCATATCTCATTATGGGCATGAACAGTATAAGACAGAAACCTCGATAAACAATGGTTTTCTCTGATTTTAGGATGAATCCTAAGCAACACGAAGCCTAAATGTAAAATATTTCTTGTCTATTATTTTGAAGCGTCTAATATTGGCATACACAATAAACAATAATGCCATATGACATTTCTAAATTATCCTGTCCCACTTTGTAATCGGAGCGTTTCTATTGGAATTCGAAACTATAAAATTACCTAAATATCGCTTGAAAGTACAATTTTCTCTTAATTTTGTTTCTGTTGCTTTTGAACTTTATAACTTCTTAACATTCATCTCTTGATTCTTACGTAACTACTATCCTATTGACCATCCACTAAAAATTTCTCTTCCTTCTCTTTTCATATATTACGCAACGTAGCAACTTCTTGATTACTTTGAATATTAATAATCCTCTTTCTTCCAATTACTCTATGTTAATTTAAATGTCATTATGTAATTATTACGTAACGTATCCACTCGATGAGTATTATATCATTATTGTAAATCATATATATATATATTAGTGTAGAGCCATGATGAAGAACTAATTGAAAATAAATTTCTTCGCTCAATTCGTTCTTTCTTTATTTACCAAATATTCTGAAAACAGATTATTCTGGAATCCGTTTTTTGAAAATGATTCCTCAGGATTCTGACTCCTTTAAAAATCATTGCAAACATTTTCTGAGTTGAAGCAAACATTTTCATCATAACTTAATGTCGTTTTATCAGATAGGATATAAGATGTCATCAGCATGTAATTGTTTAACTGATATGAAATCAAAATTGAGTTGCCATCGTATTTTGATCGTTTAGCCAACGATTGGACAACATTTAGCCGATAATGTAAATATCAATAATTTTATTTCGACTGTTACCTAGTTCGTTGTTTAAACATCAATTATTCTTTCAGTTATCACAAAAGTATACCAACTAATACAATTCTATATAATTTAACTACTACCTAATTATTTGAATCATAACGTTTCATTTGGCAATCTTCTCTAAGCTTTTCCATGATGATATTCCCTTGAAAAAGATTAGACCAGATTACCAAGTGAAACGTTGAAGGTAATTAAAATTCGATCGCTGAGATCTTTACAAATATTATTTTTCTCCTTTATGTTTTACATTAATTCGATGCCCAACTACTGTGAAACTATTCGTTCAAAGTTAGACAAAGGTTTTTATAATTATCTGAAAGTTATTTGTTATATTTTATTTCTTTTTGTTCAGTTTTGATTCATGATTGGAGCTTAATTTTATATGGAACAAATACTCCACCACCATCTGTACCAAGTTCTTCGCATAGACGAGGTGTCAGACAACTTCCCAGGAATCAAGAGTCGAATCCTTCTGCAAAATCTCAAAAAACATGGATTGATCCACAGAAAGACAAATTTCATTCATCTAAAACTTCACAACAGCCTCAACAAAAATCCATTGAAACATCAAAACACTATTCCTTAGATTCTGTTTTAAATCCTATTAATCAAGAAAATGGTGATCATAGTTCTATTGGTTCATCGGAAAATCAAAACTCTTATCCTTATCCACCATTTTACTATTTAAACAATCAAAACTCTTATCGATATTGGCCTACTTGGAATAGTGAATACCAGAGTTTGTCACCTGTTCAAGCCCCACCTCCACCTCCTCCTCCACCGCCACCTATACCAACGATCTCTGTTCTGTCATTACCACCGCCTTCAGCACCACTATCTTCCTCCTCATCATCATCCTCCTCTTCTGCCGCTTCACATTCTTTATCCTCTTCTTCTTCATCATCATCTCATGAATTCTACCCTAATTATTTTCCACAATCTTCTATTCCATTCTCTTCTACCGGTCATTCTTCATCAAATCATGGTTTAGACGAATCAAATCCTTCAATTGAATTTGATCTACCATCATTAGTTGTACAGTCGAATGATTTCACACATATTGAAACATCTAATACACTCGATCGAAATGGTTATTCCGAACACGAACTTAGTTTATCTCAAAATCATGGACAATTATTAATTAATCATGATGAGTCAATACAACGTAGCAATCATAAAATTGAGAATAATGACAATTATATTAATATTAATAATAAACACACATTGAATAATTCTGTTTATTCTATTAATGTAAATTTCCTTTATTTATTATCCTCTCTAATCTTATTTATTTTATTTGTCTACTGAATAGAAATCACTGTTATATATATATATGCAGCATTTCTCTCTAAAAAACGAGAATAATGATTCAATTTTTATCTGTTTTGCTAAGTCATTTCATTGTTGTCGCTGTTGTTGTTGTTGCCATCGTCGTTTTTCTCCGTATTCATCTATCTTCAGTTTATAGATTGTTCTGTATTTGAAAGTGCCAATTGTGAACATTCAATTTTAAACTATTAATATTAAATATTGTTTTAGGGATTTTATTTTATTTTTTATTTTTTGAAATATGAAGCTATTAAAAATTGAATTCATTCTGTCAGTAAAATCTTTTTTTTTTCTTTCTTTAATTAATCTTAATTAGGAACTGTTTGATGAAAAATTTATCTTTTTCTTAAAACATACTTGTTAGATTTTGCTTCAAATTTGTAATGATGATTATGAAGATGATGAACAAATGTGTTTATATGTGTTCTAGCATGTAATGAGTAGTACAATTTGATTTTCTACTAGCGAATACATTTTAACTTTGAAAAGTGTGAAATGATTTTGTTTCTTTGTTTGCATTCCCTTTAGTGATATATATATATATATATATATATATATATATATATATATATATATATATATATATATATATATTCAAGTTTGTTTACTTACAGTCACTCATCCATTTATCTCTATGAATGTATATTTTTATGTATAAAAGTAAATGAAACATTGAAAATTCTTCAATATCCTATAAAAGGGGTTTATCTTTATTTTAAAATGTTTAGTTCTCAAACATCTATACGCACATATGATATAAATAATCTCATTGATTGATCCATTATTATTACCAAAGGAATAAATTTCATTCACAAAATTAAATATCGTTTTTTTCTTTTATCTTACAATCTATTTGATTATTTTTTAGCAATTTTACAAATTATTCTTATTTCACTTTTATCTGTATGTTTATATCTAGATGTGTAATTGTTTTACACATTTGTCAAACATTTTTTGTTGTTGTTGTTGTTGTTGGTCATTTTCGAAAATTCTACTTATTTTTTAATATGCTAATTCAAGTTTATCTTCTTTCTGTACTTTCTTGAATAGTTCGTTTTTTACTTCTACATTATAAAATATCTTTATTTCGTTTTAACTCTTTATTCTCTGTACTGTAATTACTTTCGGAAGCCATGTATACACACACACACATGCAATGGATGATATGCTTATCTAGAGTTGTTCTTTCACTGGTCACTTGAAGTTAACAATATACTTTTTCTATCCGCTAGTTACTATTATTTGGTAATAATCAGTCTTCGGCATACACACACACACACACACTTTCGGCTTCGTTTCTTATAATGTCTACAGAGAGGCTATGTTAATGTGTGCAATGTCCACTGTTCAATTATTCTTTATTTCTCTCTATTTTCTTCTAAATTGAATACCAAAGTGAAAATACTCGAAATATTCTGATATATATCCCTTTGTTGTTTCTCTAGATCATGAACATATTGTCATATTTAGCTGAATCCACTGTTGCAAGATATTTTTATGATTGTAAAGCTTGTATTTTTTTAGTGTAATTTGATAAAATGATGGAGAGAGTAAGAATCAAATATCTGAACATGTCTATACAGCAATGGAAGCTTTTATGTTGTATCTTTTTAACAAAATATTGTATTGAATAGTTTGTTGGATTTGGTTCATTATGTTCATAGCAGTCTGTTTGTGTGGGTATTTATATATTGATTTGTGCATTTATTTTTATTTTGCACAAACACAAAATTCTACCTCACCTTATTCAAGTCTTTGTTATCTCTATTTGTTGTTACCATTATCATTACTGTTTTATTTTGTCTTCTGTTTTGTTATTAAAAATTCTGCACTACAGAGTTTATCCAATTATTGTCACTTATCTGTAATAAAATATAATAAATATTCAATTTAATTTGGTTCACAAATTTTTTTGGTAGTAATTACCATTTATCCTACTGTTCTTTAGAAATTACGCAGATTGAAGTCATGAGCCAGTTGAAACTAGACCACCATGGAAAGCCTGGAAGCACTGGACGGCCGTTTCGTCCTAGTATGGAACTCCTCAGCAGTGCGCATCCACGACCCTGCTCACTAGTGACTGACTTCAAGAGATACTCCTGGAGTTCTAGTGGGAAGCCGTTACCAGTGGAGTTCAACCAGGTCTGTTGTGAGATATCAGCTCAGTGAAGACAATGGTTTACGGTGGAGCAACTTCGTGAATTGGTTGAAGTTAGACATTAACACCTTTGGATGCCGGCTCAGTAATCTAATGGTTAAGTGCTTGCTCGCAGGTCCTGGGTTCGAATCCTGTGGGATGCGGCGTCGTGGATGCTCACTGCTGAGGAGTCCCATACTAGAACGAAACGGCCGTCCAGTGCTTACAGGTTTTCCATGGTGGTCTAGTTTCGACTGACTCATGATTTCAATCTGTGTAATTTCTAAAATCTCCACAAACCCCTTCTATTCTCTAGAAGTTTATATTGTTTTGTATCATCTGCATACTCATAAATAACAGAACCAGATGTATTACACGGTTTGGAATATTTACAATATCATTAGTTGACTTACCTTCATACTGTTGAGTTTATTAAGAGATGACTGGTTATTTTGGATAATTGACTAACAGTTGATATACTTCAATTTGAATATCTGATAACGCTATCTCTTACACATTAGATATTATGCACAGATTAACTATTCATGTACACAACTAAAAGTTTTATTTGTACTTTTGGACAAAATACATAACTCTACTACAATATCCACGAACCCCCACTCTGATAATAATAATCATGTGCTCACTAGTGGCTGGCTTCAAGAGGTATTTCCTGGTGTTCTAGTGAGAAGCCGTGGCCAGTGGAGCTCAACCGTGTCTGATGTAGAGGCAGTTACTCAGTGAAGACAATGGTGGATTGGGTTGGTTGAAGTTAGACATCACTGTTGGGTGCCGGCTCAGTGGTTTATAGGTTAAGCGTACGCGCGCGAGACTGAAGGTCCTGGGTTCGAGTCCCATGTGCGATGTCGTGGACGCGTGCTGCTGAAGAGTCATGCACTAGGACGGAACGGTCTTTCAGTGCTTCCAGATTTTCCATGGTGGTCTACCTTGGATCAACTCATGGATTCAACCATCAAATATTACAATATCGATGAACCCCCATTCTGATAATATTCATGTTAAAGTGGATATTTGCTTTTTTATTTTTATGTTTCTTAGAATAAAAAGTAGTCTAATAAATGTTAAAGTGATGGCTTGTTATAAAATACAATAATTAAGAACGATATTTATAGTCACACAAAAAGAAGTTACAGACATGTGATGAATAGAATAAGAAGTGTACACACGCATATGCTCATATAAAAACAGTCAAGGTTGATAAGTGAATAATTAACAAGGTCGAAACATGACTAAAGAAGAATAAATAAATTGGCCTGTTAAGAAGCTAGAATATGGTATATGGGCTTAACATAGTAACCGATACTATGGTTTTACAAAGCGTTTTGGTAAATAATTCTAAGTTTTACTATGTAGAATTCAATGGACTCTTGTTTCTGAAGTGACTTCTTAATGAACTCACAGAAATCTGTTCTTAATGATTAAATGAAAGAGGTTCGCTAAAAAACCCTGATTATTATCTCTACTAAACATTTGCTGCTTTTCATGGCCAAAGTGCATGAATAACATTGTTGATATGTTGTTAATTTATGAGTGCAATTCACGGTTTCATTGATTTGACAAAATTCTTGTGATATATTACTAAATACCGAAAAGAAACATCGATTGTAGTCAAAATAATCTAAACCGTTAACTTCGATCGTCACATAGAATGACGAAAAAAAAAGTGTATTTCTCTCTCAGTCAGTTATTTATTATCTTAACTGTTAAATGCTCATAAAAATTAACTAATTGACCCAATGCACCCTTTGGAAAGATATAGAAACACAGAAAAAGTGCTTTATGGTAAGATGATAGAAGTAATTTTTAAAAAAGGGAAAAAGAAACGAAAAAATGATTGCGAGTAGCTTATAGCGAGTGTGAGTGTAGAATGAAGGTTACCTTCATGAATAACAAGAAAATAAAAGCAAGCGAAAACTTACACGCTTAAATAATGCTCATCCTATACAAAGAATAAACAAACACATAACGAAAAATAATCAAAAGCAACTTTAAAAAGATGAATATTCAAGAGATAAGAACTGAGATAAACATGAAAAAATCAATAGAAATTTTCCACGAATAAAAATAAACAGAGAAAACCCGTAATCATAAAATGAAAAAACGAATGAGAAAAGTCAAAAATGCAATATCAACACACTACAAACCAGATTCATTGAACCGGTCGAATCGGGGCACATTCACACAATAACATCAACAACACTACAAACACCATGAGTATCGTCAACTTCACCTTCGTCAACACCATCATTATTAGCAACAGCATCAACAGAAGCAGTAGCAGTAGCAGTAGTAGTAGTAGTAGTAGTAGTAGTAGTAGTAGTAGTAGTATTAGTAGTAGTAGTAGTAGTAGTAGTAGTAGCAGTAGTAGTAGTAGTAGTATTCAAATAATAATAATAATAATACTAACATTATCAAGAAGAAGAAGAATAAGAATGAGAAGAAGAGGAAGAAGAAGAATAGTACTTGTATTAGTAGTACTAGTAGTAACGGAAGTATCAGCAGCAGCAGCAGCAGCAGCAGCGGCAGCACCACCACCACCACCACTACTCAATTGTTCCTTGCAAACGATCGAACAGACTGAGATTACTTCTTCTCCACCTGACCACCCACACATAATTCACAAACACATTCACAACCACCGATTGGTGGACATCATTTCTCTTTGAGTTGTTGACGTTGCATATCTGTGCAGTTGAATGTAGCCGATCAGTCAGACTGAGGTTACTGCTATGTTGCCTGACGTACTCGTGATCACTTGAACAACCGTCTATTCAACTCTATGTTGCACCCGACGATGCTGCTTCTACCACTGGTGCAGTCGGTGCCGATGCTGATGCTTCTACTAATACCAGTGCTTGTCATGTTCACCTGATTGCGCAGTGATCTGCACGACAACTGACTGGTTGATGACTGGTGCTTCGACTCGTCTGAACTTCTGTCTAATCATCGACAGGTGAATTGTTCCGTGTTGGACATTGAATAAGTTACTGAACCGATTCCATTGTGCTCAGCTATTATTCTCGTGTGCAATCTTCGAAGCTATCACTTGGACTGATTGTCCCAGTAATGAGCACGTCGTGACTCCTTACACAAATCAGGTCGAGGCAAGTGTAGCTGTAAATAAATCCCCAAAATAAATAGCACTAAGTTTTCGACATTGGATGCTGACCATATGTTTTAGTGGACTCATCTAGCTGAAGGCGCTCGGTCAGGCATCCGCACCAGATCACGTGTGGTAACGCCGTGCTCAACATCAACCGCAATCGCTAGCCAGATTAGATCAGAGAATTCCGATATATTGGTCATCGCCAAATATACTCTTCCGATCTCCTCGACTCTGTCTTTTGATTTCTCTTGGTGGGAACGAAATCTATTAGAAGGTGTTACTGGTAGAAGCGTTGTCAAACACTGAATACCTGTGACATCATCATTGGTGAGACCGTCGTGATCTGGTACACCTTATTGCAACTGTGAGTCTGTTCCTTTTTGGGATTTTTATATATCATTGCCTTATTTTTTTTAAACATTGTGATTTTTTTTCGTGTTTTTTCTTGGATATATATATTTTTTCCCCTCGTTCATTATCGTACTTCATATTTCATCATGACTGAACAGACACCTAAAGTACTCAAGCTTAAGACCTTGTCCCCACCTTCGTTTCAACTGATGCCTTTCTGGCCCGACAACATCGAAGCCTGGTTTTGCTACGCAGAAGCCGACTTCTCCGAGCACGGCGTGATCGACACACGTGCACAATTCCTCGCAGTAGTCAAGGCACTACCGCGCGAATTCAACAGGTACGTAACACCTAGTATGTTTACTAGTGATGTTTCCGATCCTTACGAAATCTTAAAACGCTCGATTCTTAAACGAGGAGACCTAACCGATCGACAAAGGTTAGATCAACTCTTCAATAACATCGACCTGCAACACGGTTCTGCGACGGACATGTTGCAACGGATGAGAGAGGTTATAGGCCCAAGAACTTTCGACGAAGGTCTATTCAAACAACTCTTCTTGTCAAAACTTCCCCAACAGGTGCAAGCAGTTCTGGTCTCGTTCCAGAACAACGCCTTAGACGAGCTAGCTGCATCTGCCGACCGCATTCTAGAAATTACGAAACCTACTACCGAGGTATTTTCAGTCAAAGAAAAGCCTCACACGACTCAGAATGATATAACCGACTTATGTCACACACTCACGCGTTATCTTAGTCTTCGTACCGACCGTAAGAGATCGCGCACACCACGTAGAAGCATTTCTCGTAAGCGATCTGTCTCTAGACCACGAGAGACAGATAACCCCGACTGGTGCTGGTATCATAACCAGTATGGAAAGTTTTCCAGAAATTGCAGAAAACCCTGCAATTTTCCCAACACGAAACCGACTGATTCGAAAAACAATTCGGGAAACTTCCAAGCCGGCACGCGTTAACGGCAACCGTAGCCGGCGAACAAAGCCGTCTGTTATTCGTCACAGATGTGACAACGAGAGTTCGCTACCTCGTCGACACTGGCGCAGAAGTTAGCGTTCTCCCAGCAAATCCTAACGACCGACTTCACGAATCGACCCTAAACTTACAGGCGGCAAACGGAAAACCGATCGCTACGTATGGCAAAAGGTACGTTTACCTTAACGTGGGTTTACGCAAACCCATCCACTGGATTTTCGTCGTTGCAGATGTTTCTATGCCAATCATTGGTATGGACCTTCTACAACACCACAATCTGATCATCGACACTCGCAAACGGAGGCTAGTAGACGGAAACACTAATTTGTCCGTTTGCGTAACTTCTTTTACTGGTTGTAGAGTATCCCCAGTCACAGTTAAACATATGATAGACCCACTCTATCAACCACTACTCGATAAGTACCCTGGGATACAACAAACTCAACCGAAACTACCGTGTGTAACCAGCAATGTTACACATCACATCACGACTACAGGACCACCTGTATTTTCTAAAGCACGACGACTAGCTCCTGAAAAGCTAAGGTTAGCGAAAAACGAATTCGATCACATGATGGACTTAGGAATCATACGACCGTCAAGTAGCCCATATGCATCTCCGTTGCACATGGTCCCTAAAAAGGACAGCAACGATTGGCGTCCAACTGGTGACTATCGGCGATTGAACGCGAAAACCATTCCCGATCGTTACCCGTTGCCTCACATTCACGATTTGACAGCTACCTTGAAAGGTACAACTGTCTTTTCGAAAATCGACTTGGTTAAAGCGTATAACCAAATCCCTATGGCTACTGACGACATACCGAAAACAGCTATCATAACTCCCTTCGGACTCTATGAATTTTTGCGAATGCCTTTCGGTCTAAGGAATGCTGCTCAAACATTCCAAAGATTCATAGACGACGTTTTTCGAGGTCTCAACTTCGTACACGCGTATGTTGACGACTGTCTAATCGCAAGTCCGGACAGAGAAACACATCTCAAGCATCTGGATCTTGTTTTCGAACGATTACAAAAACATGGCATAACTGTAAACGTTCAGAAATGCCAATTCGGAACCGACTCGTTAGACTTTCTGGGACACACTATCGATGCTCAAGGTATCCGACCCCTTAGAACCAAAGTGGCGGCCATTCTGGATTACCCAGAACCGACCACCGTCAAGCAATTACGCACGTTCAACGGCCTGGTAAGTTTCTATAGACGTTTCATACCGAAATGCGCATTACTTATGAAACCTCTGACCGACCAACTTCGTGGAAATGCGAAATCCATTAATTTGGACGACACCGCACGAAAAGCATTCTCCACAGTTAAGGAACTGATCGCTAAAGCAACAATGCTCGCACATCAGGACACCGAAGCACCCATTAGCATCGCAGTAGACGCATCCGACTCGGCAATCGGAGGAGTCTTACAACAATGGGTTAACAACTCCTGGCAACCCTTGGCATTTTTCTCTAGAAGGTTGCTAGACACCGAATCGAGGTACAGCACATTCGGTAGGGAACTCCTAGCTATGTATTGTGCTGTACGGCATTTCCAACACTATATCGAAGGCCGTGAATTCACTCTTTTCACGGACCATAAACCGCTCACTTTCTCGTTAAGCTCTCCTTCTGACAAGTACTCTCCCCGTGAGTCTCGACAACTGGACTACATTTCGCAGTTTACTTCAGATATTCAACACATCTCTGGAGCAAACAATGTAGTTGCAGACGCCTTATCTCGCATAACTTCCTTGAACAGTTTCCAAGGAATCGACCTTCTTAAACTCGCCGAGCTTCAAAAAGAAGACACTGATCTTCAGCACGAGTTATCGTCCACAACACTTAAACTACGCATCAAACAGATGGGAACAGGTAAGGAAACCTTACTTTGTGACACATCTACAGGTAGGGATCGCCCAATCGTGCCGAAACATTATCGACGCAATGTCTTCAATACATTGCACAAACTTTCTCATCCAGGTGTTCGTGCAACCATCAAGCTTATAGCAGAACGATTTTGCTGGCCTGGCATGAATAAAGACGTGAGGGAGTGGGCACGCTCCTGTGTAAGCTGCCAAAAATCTAAGGTTATCAGACACAATAAATGTCCCTTAGGCTCGTTTAAAACTCCCGATGCTCGTTTCGACCATGTTCATCTGGATTTGGTAGGACCTTTACCAGATTCAAATGGATACTCTTATCTCTTAACCTGCGTAGACCGTTTCACTCGATGGCCAGAAGCAGTACCTATCAAGGACATCACTGCTGAAACAGTGGCCCGCACATTCGTCGAACGATGGGTAGCAAACTTCGGTTGCCCTTCAACCATCACTACAGACCGCGGACGTCAGTTTGAATCTGATCTTTTCCGTCGTCTGACCACACTTTTAGGAATCACTCGCTTCCGAACGACCGCCTACCACCCACAAGCAAACGGGTTGGTAGAACGTTTTCACCGACAACTGAAAGCTTCGCTATCAGCTGCAAACGTTTCACAGTGGACCGACGCTCTTCCACTCGTCTTACTAGGTATCCGCAATGCAGTGAAAGCTGACATTGGATACACTGCGGCTCAACTCGTTTATGGAACGACACTTCGACTTCCAGGAGAATTCGTGGATCCTTCGTGCTCTTCGATGAACATGGATCTAACCTCCTACACGAACAGGCTTACAAACGCAATGCGTTCAGTTAAACCTGCTTCCACTCGACCTCAATCAACTGATGTTTTCGTTCAACCTGACTTACGATATAGTACACACGTTTTCGTTCGTCGAGACTCGCATCGACGACCATTCGAATCAGCATACGAAGGACCTTTCAAAGTTCTTCAACGTGAATCTAAGTACTATATAGTCGATAAGAACGGAACAAACGATAGCATCAGCATCGATCGCTTAAAAGCAGCGTATTTAGAAGGAAATCCTATTCACGTCGACTCCACTCATAATTCCTCAACCGACAACCAACACTGGCGATGATACTCCGAATGTATCTGAAAACAAACTTGAAACGACGCGTTCTGGAAGAAGGCTTAGATTTCCAGAACATTTAAACGACTACTGCACGTAAGACACTACTCGACATTTTATATTATCTCGATTTTTCTTTTGACAATATATAATATTTAAAAAAAAACAATTTTAATACGCC